GGACACAGGGACTTGGAGCAACCTGCTCTAGTGGAAGGTGGCCCTGCCCGTGGCAGGGGTTGGAGCTGGAGGAGCTTTAAGGTCCCTTCCAACACAAAGCAGCCGGGGATTCTGTGAATGGTGCAGGTAGATTGAGCTGCCTTCCTTCCCTGTGCAGGGCACAGCAGAGCAGGAGCACAACCAAGCAGCAGAACAGCCCTGAGAGGGGCTGCTGCTGGTTCAAACCCAGACCAGGGGGTTTATTCACTTCATATTTATTTTTCCACAAAGACTGTACAAAATTCTTATAAAACTCTGGTGTGGGGATGGGCTATGACATTGATCCAAAAAATAATTCCCATGCAGTCCCACCAGTTTCATAACTTACAAGGAAACAGATAAGCTACAGCGAGCTGCGAGTCCTGGAGTATTTACACCGAGGAGGGCAGGAGGAGACAGAGCAACACATGAACAGAGGTATTTACATATGGACATACAGGCCCCCTCGCCTCACGGTAACGGCAGCAGCAACAGGAGGTCGGGCCCGTGGTGCTCAGAGGCCGCTATAGAATATGGGCTATTTACAGTATCTCACATATTAACAGCTTTACAAACGTGTCCAGGGGAGTTTTACTCATGTATATAAAAAAAAAAACAACCAAAAGCACCAAAAGTCTGAATAGAAATGACACAGGCCTCCACGGGGGCTAGAATCTGAGCGCAGGCTGGCGCCCGCGGCGTCACCGACTGATGTCCCTGCTCGAGTCCCATAGTTTTGTGCTGGGCTCCATCTCCAACATGTCAAAGAAGGGGTGTTTGAGGGCTTCGGCCAGCGTGAGGCGCTTGGAGGGCTCGTACTCCAGCATGCCCTCAATGAGGTCAAAAAGGCGGTGATGGTCCTCGGCCTCCGAGGTCAGGTATCGCTGGGCAGATGGAAGGGGAGGGTTAGTGCTGAGGATGCTGCACCCGGGCCCGCTCACAGTGCTCTCCCGGGGCTGAATGGCCAAGATGGGGGAAGGTTTGGTTTGTTCAGACCATCACTAATCCTAGACCTGAGCTCTAGGCTTTACCAAGCATGGAACTGCCGAGCTCCTCCTGCCCCTGCCATCTTTCCCCAGGCACTTCCCAAGGTCTCCCATGCCCTCTTCCACCTCAGATTAAGCTCAGGCTGCTGCAGCCTTCCTAATTTATCTCTGGGATAGTCAATGCTCCTTCAGGAACACACTGGTCTGACTCTTTTGGTGGCCGAACCTTGCCCATAGGAAAATCTTCACAACTGGGGCAGGCACTAAAAGACTCTGCAATGAGAAGAGGCTAAAGCAAGCAGGGTTCCTCCCTCCCCTCCTTACCCGCAGTGGTTTGCAGTTCTCTCTCACATAGCGGCCAGCAGAGGTGTTCTCATCCCAGTCCAGGCGGCCATGGTAGAAATACTTCTGTTTCCTGCCAGAGTAAGAGGTGGGAACAGGTTACTCCCAACACCAACTGCCTCACAGCAACAGCAACACGCTCAGCAAGTGGCTTCAAAGCTCCATCCCTCAGAGAAGCGCTGCCCTGAAGCAGGAGCAAGCCCGTGGTATCCAACCAGCCTTGCTCACCTTGTCTTCCGGATCATCCGAGAAGGAATTGGCCCCAAGATCCTCTCCATCATGGCCAGGTGCTCCCGGTTGTCATGTGTCTGAGAAAGAGGAACATAAAGGGAAGGCATGGAACAGATTCCGATCGTTCTAGCTCCAGCCCTGGGTACTCCCCTGCTCAGAACCCCTTGCTGGGCAAAACCTCGGTTGTCTCTACAAGACTGCAGTGATGGAGGGAACCCCATGAGCCCCAGAGGCTCCTGGCTGTACTGGGAAACAGCCAGCATCCTCTTTCATCAGTTGTGAGGTAGCCATACAGCGTACAGTTCTCACCTGGAACAGGGTGAAACCCACATAATACTCAAAGATGATGCAGCCAATGCTCCACACATCACAGGGCTGGCTCCAGCCAAGCTCTAAAAAACAATGTGTTTTAAATAAAAATCCAGTTACAGCCTAAGATTCCAAATCCCTCTCCCTTTTAGAAACAAACAACTGAAAAAACAATTCCCATTCCAGCCAGGTTCCCGATACACTGGTGGCAATACACTGCCCAGCTGGTAGCAATGCCAAAACACCAACTTAGGAGTTGCTGCCCGCACCCCCCCAAAATAGCACTGTAGAGCATGTTAAATAAAGTGTTTCTCATCTCCTAGGGTAAACCCAGGACAGCTACTGAAGGATGTGGAGGCAAAATGCTCCTTAATCCAGCAGGCAGCAGCCGGTGCCCCGGCGCCAACACCTGCCTCTGCAGAGAGACCAAGGGGAACGTACCCAGGATGACTTCTGGGGCTCGGTAGTGCCTGGTAGACACAATGGTGCTGTGATGCTCATGGTCGAACGTGGCACTGCCGAAGTCCACTACTCTGATGGCTGTGCTCTTCACGCTCCGCTCGTCCCGCTTCTTCACAAGGGAGACCAGCATCAGTTACTCAGGAGCTTCAGGATGTAGGCTTAGCCCCTTCCTTACACAGCTAAGGCTTCATCACAGGGCAGGGGAAAGCTTCAGAGGCTACACTAGTGCTGGCACAGCCCCAAACAAGCTCCCACCATCTGCCAGGTAAGCCTGTGGTCCCTATGGCTCACTCACAGGCAGCTCGTGCAAGATACAGGCCCTGAACAACCCCGTGTCTCCTGGCTCCGTGTTCTGCCTCCTCCCTCCTGCTGCTAAGGTCAGGGACACTAGAACCCAAGACAAGAACCCCAGAAGCACCGTTACCTTTTCCAGGTTGTAGGAGAGCTCATAGTCAGAATTCACAAAGAGGATGTTCTCTGGCTTGAGGTCGGTGTGGGTGAGTTTGTTGTCATGTAGAACTGAGGGAGCAAACAGAGTTGGGTGATGGAACAGAAGCAAAGTGAGGCTACACCCACCCACAGAGCGAACATCACTGGTCCAGTCTGCTCATACTGGCACTAGTTGAGCCCACATTTAGAATGGGGTGTGAACAGGCTGGTCCAGGACAAGATGATTTGTCAGAAGCACATTTATCGTATCGATCACCCGAACGCGTAAGGGGGTGGGTGCTGAAGTGCTCTGAGCTCCTGCCAGCCCACATGCATTGGAAAACATTACGAGCAGGAAAACAAGGATCCATTCCAAGCATGCATTCACCACTGGAGGCAGTGCAAGGCTCAGGCTCAGAACTGGCACTGTTGGGAGCTGCACAGCTCTCCAGGTCAGCCAAGGAGCAGGGGAGGAGCGCGGTGAGCACTTACATTTCACAGCCTGGCACACCTGGTAGGCCATGTGCCGCACTTGGTGGATAGGGTAAGGCAGGTAGTTGTTGTCCTTCAGGAAATCAAAGGTGCTGAGCCCCAGCAGCTCGAAGGAGATGCACATGTGGCCATGGTAGTCAAACCAGTCAAACATCCTGACGCACAGACTGAGGGGAAAACCATGAGGTTTGAGACAGATCTGTACAAACCACCTGGCTGTTATCCCTGTGCCAGGCTCCTCCTTTCCTTCTCATCCCACAGCAAACCAATATGCCTCCAAAACGTAGCTACACGCAGATTCAGTCACCCAACACCAAGTACTTCTCTCATCCCATCCCTGGACTGCGCTAAGACAAGGCTTCCCCTTCCATTGTAACACCAAGAGCCCACTCACTTGGTGTTCTCGGGATCCTTCTCGTTGATCTTCTCCAGCACGTTGATCTCCAGCCGAGCAGCCTCTTTGTATTTCTCTACGTTTTTAATGATTTTGAGAGCAACACGGGCACCAGCCCTGGGGAACAAACAGGGACAAAGCTCAAGATCAGCCCTGAGCTGGACCAGAGAGCCCGTGCCCTGCAAAAAAGGCTTTCTGAATCAGCCTCGCCCTCCACAGCACAGTCTTCTACCACCCTTGCTCAAGCCAGGAGGTGGCTGTTATTAAGGGCTGTCATAGAATGGTTTGGGTTGGAAAGGAACTTAATTTTTTTTTTTCCCCCCCCCCCCCCTGCCTCAGGCGGGCGCCCCTGACACTAGACCATGTCACCCAAGTCACTGTTCAACCTGACCTTGAACACTGCCAGGGATGGGGCAGCCACAGCTTCTCTGGGCACCCTGTGCCAGTGCCTCAGCACCCTCATAGGAGAGAGCTTCTTTATATCTACCTGAAACTTCCCCTGTTTGAGTGTGAACCCATCACCCCTTGTCCTGTCGCTCCAGTCCCTGATGAAGGTCCCTCTCCAGCATCCTTGTAGCCCCCTTCAGACACTGGAAGCTGCTCTGAGGCCTCCACACAGCCTGTCCACCAAAGCAGCGCCTTCTCCCTCCTTACGAGCACCCCCCAGAAGCTCCCCTGACCCCTCTCCAACACATGGGCAGCCCCAGAGGCTGAGTGCCCAGACCAGCTGAGGAATCCTGGAAACAGAGAGGCTCATTTCACCCCCAGGCTCCCATGCTGAGCACGAAAGGCTCCATTGCCAGCTACGGTCTCTCTTTACCCCTCACCACCAGGTCCCTGCCCACGTACCTGCGGTGATCGATGCACTGCACCACCCTGCCGAACGTGCCTTCCCCTAAGGTGCTAATAATCTCATCTGGGAGGGAGAGAAAGAGAAGAAGGCAGATGAGAGAGTGAGCACGACCTGGATGCAGCGCATACACAAGGCAGAGGAGAATGCATTGCAACACCTAACCTGCACACAGCTTGAGAGGCCGGAGCAGCGGAAGGCTGACACCGACTGCACAAGGCAACAGCCCTAATTCCCTGGCACTTCAGTAACAATACAAAATATAAACGTAGCTTTAACAAAAGGGGAAGGAAAAAGGAGAGGGTTTCTCTTTAATAAACAATGGAAATAAAATGAAACAGAAAGATAAGACAGATCTGCGACTGCGATGGGAGCTTAACTAGAGAGCTAAATTATGTTACGATTTGGCTGTACATCTTTCTTGTAGCCAGTCGCCGACGCGATAGATCAGATGCCCCTCGTCGTCGTCCTCCACACTCTTGGCCCTTCTGCTGCTCTGTCGACTCCGCTGCTGGCCCAGGCAGACAGGGAATTCATCATTCACCAATCACATTTTCAACCCAGCGCAGCAGCCAGCGTCACGCATTGGTTGGTTTGGAAATTCACATGGTTGTTTGAGGAGGGGTTGCAGGAGGAGATTCCCAGCCAATTCATACGGCACAGAGGAATATATAACGATAGGGATATTGCAAGGGAACATGTCAAGATACAACACACTAGCTCAGAAAAGAAAAAAACAGTTTGCTTTTCGTTGTAGCAAAAGGAAAAAAAAAGAAAAAAAAAAGAAAAACAAAAGGAAAAAAAAAAGAAAAAGAACAAAAAAAGAGAACCTACAAACAGCCCCACCCGAACCAGTGCGAGAGCAGAGACGGTCACAACAGGGCTAGTGGAGGGCAGAGCAAGGGGGCAGCTGCCCTCGCTCCTAGCGGGGCTCTGAGAGCAATGGCACTGGCCTTCGGGTCCTGGTGACGCCAAGAGAGCGCGGCAGAGCCTCGGGGAGAGGCTCATTTAGCCCCACGCAGCCGCTGGGGAAAGGCAGCAGAAGGCGGGTGCTGGCAAGTCCTGCACAAGCAAAGGCCTGGGCTGCCCCACACAGGAACTCCCCATCCCATTCCAACAGCCCCCCCACAGCGTCCCCCAGCCCCAACACTCAGGAAAAGATGAATTCAGAGGTTTCGGAAGCAACGCTCGGTACAATGATCCATCCAAACCAGAGAGAACTGTGACTGTCTCGGGGAAGATGTGACCCTCCTGCCTACACCCTCCCCTAACAAAGCTGATCCTGGAAGGACTAGCTTCCAGGAGAGAAGCAGAGGCCCAACAGGGAATAGGGACAGCCTGGGATGAGGCAGATAAGAGGTTTATGCCAGAGAAGAGAGAATTCCTGCCTTCAGTTCTTCACCTAAGTATCCCCACATCTGGGAACAACCAACCGGCCAGCAGACTTGGGACCTGAATCCAGCCCCCAATCCCATCCCTGGACATACAGCCAGAACAGACCAGACAACACTGAGAGCTCCACATACAGAGCAGAGAACGTGTCTGGGGTCTAACAGAAGTGGAAGGTGAACAGCAGAACAGACAAGAAAAGAAAGGCAGGGACACTGCTGGGAAGAGCCTGTGATGGTTGCTGCCTCTGCCTGAATTGACCAGTGCACAAGCTCCACTCCTTTTGCAAAGCCCCTCACACGACATCCCACATCAGCTGAGCCCACCCAGAAGGATCCTGCTCTGCTGCAGGACCTA